TTAAATGGAACCAGTTGATAGAGAGCATTACAAGAACTCCAACGCTATAGTGTATAGATACCTTTAACTCTGGACTGAAAACGTTCCTATTTGAGCAGCTTTCAGCTCAGTTTTAAACACTGTTAGCTCTACTGCTCTTCACTCCTGTAATGGCACTTTATTATTTACACTGAAAAATGGAGATACGATATAAGTACTGTTTTGTACTCAGAGGTACACGTTTCACAAATGTACCCTCAAAGGTATAATGTTGGACTTTATAGGGACAGATATGTGTCTTTTGATTTTCTGAAAAGGAACAAAGTCTAACAGTTCACACGACTACCACGGTAAAGTTAGTTTTGTTTTCGATATTCGTCTTTTCGGCGCTAATAACATTTGATCAGACTACAGTAGTCAGCGAAGACTTACATATTCATGATAGTACGACCACAGAGAGAGATGCACACCTGTTCTTTTGCAGTTTGGGTGACATTTAACGTACCGCTGTTTCGTGTTAATACCATAGAACTGAGACAAGTTTTTCAATCAGAAGAAAAAGCATGCACTTCTAGACCACGCCCACATCCATGCACACGCATTTGTTTTCCTCCAAAGCGTTTCAGTGCATTTAAATACATATTTAATTGTTCAAGCTAACAGTAGACACCGCCAGACAATAGAACGTCAATAGCTCCATAAACACTGTGTCCATGCACATATGATTGTGTTATTTGCTCTAAATTATGGTTAGAAACACACACCACTTTAATTTAGAAAAAGGACTTTGAATAAACCTGCAACTAAAATGTACTTGCCAATACTTGCCAATACCTGAGCATACCTTACCTGTAAAAACTGATATTACCTGTATACTGATATAGCTAGTGAGCTTGATGATGGAGGTTCAGTAATCGTCAGACATTAGCAGTCTTGAAGGTTCAATAGATCCTTAACCATCTAAAATATTAGTTTTAAAAATGAGTGTAGAAAAGAAAACGTCTTATTTAAGTGGATCAAATTGCAAATCAAAAGTTTTTTAAATCCATCAAAAACTCAGTGAGTCAGACTTAAGTTATTCTTTTCCATTTTCGATTTCGACATTTTAGACAATGAACATTTAAAATACTGCTTAGATTCAAAATGCAGCATTCAGTGCAATTAATACAGCTGAAATGCTTTTGAATGTTAAAATACAAATATTAATATAAAGTAATTATTGCAGTACATTCAAAATTCAAAACTTGTGCATGATTGCTGTAACTTGCTGCACCATACACAACTGTTGGCAGTGTCAGTGTAATACAGCTGAAATATTATTAAAATTAATAAAAAGTAGTCACAGCAACATATCCAAAATCCAAAAGCTGTGCATCATTGCTGACACCTCGCTGCACCATACACAGCTGTTTTTAATGTTGCAAATAATTCAGCTAAAATATTATTGAAATTCAAAATAAATAAAAATTATAAAAAGTAGTCACAGCAACATATCAAAAATCAAAAGCTGTGCATCATTGCTGACAACTTGGTGCACCATACACAGCTGTTTTTAATGTTGTAAATAATGCAGCTGAAATATTATTGAAATTCAAAATACACAAAAATTAATAAAATGTAGTCACAGCAATAGATCCAAAATTTAATGGCTGGGCATCATTCCTCACACCTCACTGCACCATACACAACTGTTTTTAAGGTTGTATATAATTGAGCTGAAACTTTTTTGAAATTCAAAATATATAAAAATGAATAAAAAGTAGTTACAGTGATATATCAAAAATCCAAAGGCTGTGCATCATTGCTGACACCTCACTGCACCATACACAACTGTTTTTAATGTCGTAAATAATGCAGCTGAAATATTATTGAAACTCAAAATACATAACAATTAATAAAAAGTAGTTACAGCAATATATCAAAAATCCAAAGGCTGTGCATCATTGTTGACACCTCACTACACCATATACAACAGTTTTTAATGTTGTAAATAATGCAGCTGAAATATTATTGAAATTCAAATTACATAAACATTAATAAAAAGTAGTTAAAGCAATATATCCACAATTTAAAGGCTGTGCATCATGGCTGACACTGCACTGCACCATATACAGCTGTTTTTAATGTTGTAGGTAATTTAGCTGAAATAGCTTTATACTTTATATTAATGTTTATGTATTTTGAATTTCAATAGCATTTCAACTACATTACATACATCACTAAAACCCTTGTATATGGTTCAGCAAGATGTCAGCAATCATACACAAGTTTTGGATTTTGGATGTAATGCAATATCTCATTTAAATATTTTTTTATACATTTTGAATTTCAATTATATTCCAGTAACATTGCATACAGCAATACAAAGAATTGTGTACAGTGCCGTGAAGTGTCAGCAGTCATACACACTGTTTGGATTTTGGATATAATGCAATAAATACATTATATTTTTTTAAATTTAATTTGAACTTCAATATTATTTTGCCCATCTTACATACAACACTTAAAACTACTGTGTATGGTGCAGTGCAGTGACACCAATGATGCACAGCCTTTGGATTTTTGATATAATGCAAAAACAACTTTATATTAATTTTCATTTATTTTGAACTTCAATAATATTTTGGCCATCTTACATACAACACTAAAAATAACTGTGTATGGTGCAGTGCAGTGTCAGCCATGATGCACACCTTTTGGATTTTGGATATATTGCTTTAACTACTTTTTATTATTTTTTATGTATTTCGAACTTCAATAATATTTCAGCTGCATTATTTACAGCATTAAAAACAGCTGTATATGGTGTAGTGAGGTGTCAGCAATGATGCACAGCCTTTGGATTTTGGATATATTGCTGTAACTACTTTTTATTAATTTCTGTGTATTTTGAATTTCAATAATATTTTAGCTGCATTATTTACAACATTAAAAACTTATGTACGGTGCAGTGAGCTGTCAGCAATGATGCACAGCCTTTGGATTTTTGATATATTGCTGTAACTACTTTTTATAAATTTTTATGTATTTTGAATATCAATAATATTCTAAATCATATACAACATTAAAAACAGCTGTGTATGGTGCACCAAGGTGTCAGCAATGATGCACAGCCTTTGGATTTTTGATATATTGCTGTAACTACTTTTTATTTATTTTTATGTATTTTGAATTTCAATAATATTTCAGCTAAATTATATACAACATTAAAAACAGCTGTGTATGGTGCAGCGAGGTGTCAACAATGATGCACAGCCTTTGGATTTTTGATATTTTGCTGTGACTATGTTTTATTAATTTTTATGTATTTTGAATTTCAATAATATTTCAGCTGAATTATATACAACCTTAAAAACAGTTGTGTATGGTGCAGCGAGGTGTCAGCAATGATGCACAGCCTTTAAATTTTGGATATATTGATTTAACTTTTATCAATTTTGAATTTCAGTAGCATTTCAGTTGTATTACACCCAACACTACAAACAATTGTGTATGGTGCAGGTAAGTTACAGCAATTATACACAACTTTTGAGTTTTGAATGTACTGCAATCATTACTTTTTATTAATATTTGTATTTTAACCTTCAAAAGCATTTCAGCTGCATTAATTGCAGTGAATGCTGCATTTTGAATCTAAGCAGTATTTTAGCTACATTATATCCTCAAAATTGAAATGAAAAGTTTGTGTCATTACTAAAACTAAAACTTATCTGCACCAAACACTGCTGAATTAAATGTTCAATGTCTAAAATGTTATCGAAATTCAAAATGAAAAAATGTACAAGATTTAAAACTTACATCTGACTCACTTAGTGTTTGATGGATTTATAAAACTTTTGATTTGCAATTTGATCCACTTAACTAAGGCGTTTTCTTTTCTACACTCATTTTTTTAACTAATATTTTAGATGGTTAAGGATCTATTGAACCTTCAAGACTGCTAATGTCTGACGATTACTGAACCTCCATCATCAAGCTAACTAGCTATATCAGTATACAGGTAATATCAGTTTTTACAGGTAAGGTACGCTCAGTACTGTTAGGACAAGTATTGGCAAGTACATTTTAGTTACAGGTGTATTCAAAGTCCTTTTTCTAAATTAAAGTGGTGTGTGTTTCTAACCATAATTTAGAGCAAATAACACAATTAATCATATGTGCATGGACACAGTGTTTATGGAGCTATTGACGTTCTATTGTCTGGCGGTGTCTATTGTTAGCTTGAACAATTAAATATGTATTTAAATGCACTGAAACGCTTTGGAGGAAAACAAATGCGTGTGCATGGATGTAGGTGTGGTCTAGAAGTGCATGCTTTTTCTTCTGATTGAAAAACTTGTCTCAGTTCTATGGTATTAACACAAAATAGCGGTACGTTAAATGTCACCCAAACTGCAAAAGAACAGGTGTGCATCTCTCTCTGTGGTCGTACTATCATGAATATGTAAGTCTTCGCTGACTACTGTAGTCTGATCAAATGTTATTAGCGCCGAAAAGACGAATATCGAAAATAAAACTAACTTTACCGTGGTCACACCACGACTGACCTTCTGAAAGCACGTACCCCGTATACATGCAATATAAACCGTATTAAGTCAGGCACAGCAGTACAACTCTCTGTCTAGCTAGCTTAGTTAGTTAATAGCCTACCGCATCAGACTTCACAAATTGGATAACAGAGGAGAGAAAAAGGAGCAGAGAGAAAAAGAGAATGAATTCATCCTCAGAATAACTAATTCAGCAACAGAGCAGCAGGTCAGTCTTCAGCCTCCTCTACTCACCTGATGTCTCAGTTATCTGCTGCTGTAGTACTTGTTTTCCGTTCAGTATCAACGTAACGTAACGCAGAGTAAAGGTGAGGAGTCGTGGGGAAAAGCTCGCAGTACAGAGCACAACAGAGAGAACTAATACGCAGCTTTTCTTTCTCTTTCATTTCTCTCTCTCTCTCTCGCTCTCTCTCTCTCTCTCTCTCTCTCTCTCAGCAGAAATGACCTCTCCCCCTCTAACTGGAAAAAACTCACCACTGGGATGCTCGCCCACACCCTTCTCGAAGGAACATGAACGCCAATTTCCCAACATAATTATCCAGCTGTTTTACGGTAAACCAGTCCTCTCTAAGTTTCCCAATGTTATGAGCTTTGAAGGATCCTCTTCGTATTACTTATCTGTAACAGTATGTGATTACGTCACACTGCCGCCCAGGCCTGCCACGCAAAAATCATAATACTGTGATCTTCTGCTCCTGGCTGAGCACTGGGCTTTTTAGAGTTATGCAAATAAGGCTCATGGGAAATGCATGCATAACCCCTGAAGAAAGGACCAATTGTGTGTTTATGTTGTTGTTTTTTACGTATGTGTTATGTGTTATTTCGTATCTGGGTATGTGAGTTGATGGGTGTTTTGTGTCCTGGGATTGGGGTCAGCTGGTTAGTGGTTGGTTAGGTGGTTTCAGGCTTTGGGACACAATTGCTTTAAACCGATGGGATTTAATGCTGTTTTCGAGTCGTATTTTGCAGTGGAAACTCAGATTTTTTCGATAAGCCCTGAGTTTTTGAGATGGGGGTATGTCTAAAAAAGCAATGATATCCACAGCAATGATATTAACAGTCTGGCAGCAGAATTCTGAATTAGCTGTAGTTTCTCAAATGATTTTTTGGAAGAGCAGTGAACAGTGCACTGCAGTAGTCCAGTCTATTTGAGTTAAAAGCTTCTCAGCATCCTGTTGACTTAAAAACGGACATACTTTGGCAATATTTCTTAGGTTGAAGAAGGCTGTTTTGGTCACCTTGTTACTTTCCCTTTACTCTGATGACTCAGATATCCTAGCCTAGTGGAGAGTGCATCTCTTTTGGCTTTGGACCAACTAAGAGTATTTCTGTCTTCTATCTTTATTTAATTTTAGAAAGGTACTACTCATCTATTGATTATTTGTAGACAGACAGATAATCAGGGAGCCTAGGGCATGTATGTCATTCGGCTTGATGGAAATGTATGACTGAGTTTCATCAGCATAGCTATGAAAATGAATATTGCGGTCTCTGATGAAATTACCCAATGGTAGCATGTATAAAGAGAAAAGAAGGGAACTAAGTCAGCTTCCTTGTGCGACACCACAAGATACATCATGATCTCCAAGGCTAGCATAAAATTGTTTCTTATGTAGGGTTGAAACCAGTTAAGGGCACGCTCAGAGAGACCAGCCCGGATCTTATTTGCAGCAGCATTGAGTCTGAGACTATGTTAGAGCTGTCTCTGTACTGTGATGAGATTTAAAATCTGATTAGAACTTCTTGAAAATAATGTTCTTATTTACAAAGTTGTTAGGTTGATTAAATACTACTTTTTCTAGTAGTATTCCTACGTCTAGTAGTAGCACTACTTTTTCTAGGAATATTCCAATTTCCTGAGATGTGTTAATTATTTTTTAAAATGATGTGGAGACACTATAAAGACATTTTTTATTTATTTTATAAGGATAGGATCAGGACAGCTAGTTGAAGGTTTGCCCTGTCTTACAATTTTACAGAGTTCTGCCTCAGAGTCAGTATTAAAATTGCTCTTAATTGCTGTCCTATTACAGATCAGATTATATAGGTTACTTTTTTTTCTTTCCCACCTTAAATGATGCAGCAGTCACCTTAAATGAAGTGCCACAACATACCTGCAGCATCATTTAAGGTGGAACAGAATTTTTGAATGAGAATCCATCTTCATTCTCCTCCTTATCCTAGCCCTTAACATCTGTTCCGAGCTGTGTGGATGCTCTTGAATAAAAAAAGGTTCTCAAGTCCTGGGCTTTTAAAAGTTATTCCAAAGGAACAGGCAGAACACAGCACCACCTCTGAGCATGAATCGACCTGAAACATTGCTTTTGGCAAAGTGATGGCTGCAGACATGAACGCTGGCACTTACTCTAAAATAAGGACCCTCTACCCTTCAGATTGATCCATTGTGATTTCAACGTGTGCTTGGTCAGAAATGTATGAAAGCCCAGGTATGACTTTTTGTATGGAGCTGTGGCTTTGAGGAACACAGCGAAATGGTGTAAAGCTGGACTGCACCATTTGTTTTTGGTTCAACTAGAAACTAAATTACCTGCTAACAGAAACCGATGGAAGTAAAAACCTGGAAATGTGAAAAGAGTCTATTTGGTGCTTACAATGCTCTTTTACTAAAAAGGCTAAAATATGCTTTGTGAAAATGTCCAAGCAAACATCCATCAACTGTAACACAACAAACATTTTGTATGCCTTGTCTTGTCATGGGCTATGACACTGAAGTCAGCTTCCTGTTCGCCAGCTTCTTGTTTGAATTTTCACGTTCCACCTTAAATGGTGCCAGAATAAAACTACTGTGTTCACAAATAGGCCCAGGGCCCCCAAGCAGGTTAAAGCACTGATGCACTTGTCTCTAATTGACTCTGAGATGCAGACATTTAGACGTTTTGCTTTACAAGCCTTTTTAGGTCTATTATTGTATCAATATTTAACCATTTAAATCTTTTTAACTCTAACATCAAAGGAAACTTATGATCCAAAGCACACAGCTGATAAAAACAGAGGGTAACACTTTACTTAAACCCTGCTGCATAACAGCAACATAACTATGTCACAAACATGTCATGACAGATTATGTTCAGTAATATAACAGTGTCATGTTACCATCACCATTAGTTGTCAAGACAGAATTCATACTGTTTGATGTCATGACAGCTAACTAGAATACACAGCAAAAATTGCAGATGACATAAGCTGTCATGACATTGAACATTATGATATCTGTTTTGATAATTACAGATAATGGTCATGATACATCTGTTACATTATAGGACATAATCTGTCATGATATTTATGGCATGATTATGACAGTGTTATGCAGCAAAGTTGAAATAAGGAGTCAAAACAATCTGTTTCTGGCTGAATGACTTTAATAAGTAAGGCATTACAATGTTGACTTGGTTAACTAATAAAAATACAGTGCAGTAAAGATTAGGGGTGAGGTTTTAGATGTGGTTGGTTATACAGTAGTCATACGCAAGGTAAGCAGGAAATTCAAATAAAACTTTAATAACTTTCAAATAATCCTCCTTATAGGAACATTATCTGAAAGTGTGTTTTCTATTATTATTTAGAATATTGCCATTGTTTAAAATGCAAAAAAGCTATCTAAAAAAAGTAAATAAGGTATATATCCTAGTAAATTTCATTAAAACTCCTCTCTTGAACAGCTGAAATTCTCTTCAGGACCAAAGGCATTTAGTCTACAGGCACTGCAGGCTCTGTATGTTTCTAGAATTACTGTTGTTCAAAATGATCTGGTGTTCAAATTAGAAAAACTAAGCTAACTGCAGCTGTTCCTGACTGAAGCTTTAATTAACTGAAGCCTCTATTCACAAATTCTCACACTGCAATCATATAAAATCATACAGAAATAATAAGCTACAATGTCTAAAATTCTTCAGACACCCTCTCTAATAAGTGAATTCAACTACTTTAATATGTACTCATTACTGAGACAGGTGATCAACTGCACAAACACAGCTTTTATAATCTTCGTAGAAAAGCATTTCACATAGCTGAACATGAGCTTAAGGTCTGCATGCCAGATGCCATCCACTGGCAAGAGGGGTATGGAGCAGTGGAAATGCATTCTTCAGAGTGATGGAGCCCCACTTAGTACCCTTGGGTTCAGTTGGAGTGGCATTTGTCATTCAGGACTACAACCTCAATTCCCAAAAATGGGGACAGTATGTGAAATGCTAATAAGAACAGAAAGCAGTAAATATTAAATTCTGACCTGTATTACACAATATTTGATGATTTTACCTTAAGAACTTCATTGTTTGTTGTAAATAGATGCTTATTCCAAGTTTGATGCCTGCAACACTTTCTAAAAGAGTTGGGACAGGGATATGTTTACTACTGTGTTACATCAGCTTTACTTTTAACATCACTTTAATCGTTTAGGGACTGAAGACACAAACCGATCCAGTTTTAAAAGCGTAATTTTTTTCCATTCTTCTGTTATACGAGTCTTCAGCTGTGCAACCCTACAGAGACCTTGTTATCATCTTTTGAGCTTAATAAGACACACATTTTCAGAGGGGGACCGTTCTGGACTGCAGTCAGGACAGCACCCTCACTGTCTGATTATGTAGCCATGCTGGTGTAACTCATGCAGAATGTGTTTTGGCATTGTCATGTTGAAATAAGCATGGATGTCCCTGAAAAAGATGTTGCCTGAAAGGCAGCATATATTGTTCCAAAATGTGTTCAGCATTGTACAGCATTGCACCTACAGATGTGTAAGTTATCCACTTATACCCCATCATACCCTGAGAGACAGAATTTACGCTGGTAAAAAATCTGGATGGGTCTTTTCTTCTTTGGCCCGGACAACATGATGTCCGTTATTTCCATAGTCTGAAAGATCATCAGACCACAATATATTTCCACTGTGCATCAGTTAATTTCAGAAGAGCTCGAGCCCAGAGAAGTCAGCAGCATTTCAGGACGCTGTTGACATGTGACTTGTGAGCTACAGCTGAGAAGCTTTCTTCTAAAAATGTTCTGCAAATGTTACGCACATGTTCTGTTAATGTTTTCAGCAGTTCGTGGTTCCAACAATGTTCTTCTGGGGACATTCTCTAAAAACATGATTATGTAACATAATCTGTGGCCCTGACAACCTTCTCAAAACTCTTCATCTTCTGAATGTTGCAGTTAAAGTGCTATGTCTTAGTTAAAATTTAACTTGATAGGAACATTATTTGAAATGAGAAACATCCTTATAATGTTATTTGAACATTAAATTAAAAGTTTTCTTCAAAACATTATTCAAACTTGTAGGTAACATTAGCCAAAGTTGTGGGAATGTTCCCTGCTAGCAGATTTCCACTGTGCACAGTCTTAACTTGCATTTATTGATGCCGCAACAAACAGTGTTTATTGACAGTGGTTTTTCGAAGTATTCTTGAGACCATGTAGGGGATGAAATATCTAAAATCCTTGCGATCCCTAGCTGAGTAATGTTCTTTTCAAACTGTGACATTTTTAATAAGCAGATAAGCAGAAAACACAAAGGCTTGGCTCGAATTTGCCAAAAAACACTGAAATGACCCCCAAGAATTTTGGGATAATATTCTGCGGACTGATGAGTCAAAAGTGGAACCTTTTGGAAGACATGGGTCCCATGACATCTCGCATTAAGTTAACACTGCATTCCACCATAAGAACATCATAACAACAGTCAAACATGGTGGTAGTGTGATGGTCTGGGGCTGCTTTGCTTCTGCAGGACCTGGACAATTTGTCATAATTGATGGAACCATGAATTCTGCTTTCTATCAGAAAACCCTGAAGGAGAATGGTTGCCCGTCAGTTCATGACCTAAAGCTCAAGCACAGGTGGGTTAAACGGCAGGACAATGATCTGAAGCAGACAAGCAAGTCCACCTCTGAATGGCTCAAATGAAATAAAATTAAGGTTTTGGAGTCCTGATTTGAATCTCATTCAGATTCTATGGCAAGACCTTAAAGGGACAGTTCATGCTTGAAAACCCTGCAGTGTAGCCAAATTAAAATAATTCCTCCACAGCGATGCAGAAGACTCATCGCAAGTTATCGCAAACATTTGATTGCAGTTGTTACTACCAAGCTGCATTTTGTGTTTAATCATGTTGTCTTTATCTTATATTAAATTTAGTTGGATGATCTAAAACATGTATATGTGACAAATGAGCAAAAACATCAGAAATCGGGTGAGAGGCAAATACCTTTTTATAGTATATCCGTATTTAGTATTTTATTTCAAAGGATCAAGAAAAATAGTATTTTCCATGATATGGGACAATAAAACAAATACTAAATGAATTAATAAAGGAGGTGGAGGGATGTTAATGATGATTTTTAATAAAACAAATTGCCAAATTAATGAATTCACTTTGCTCTGTGTTTTCTTTCTCCAAAACAAGCAAAAGTTACTGGATCACACAAAAAAAATAAAAAAAATAAAGAACCTAACTAAAATGTTGTGTTCTCAGAGTTGAATGCAGTACGTGCTGTAATATTTTGTAATGATATGACACCACCATTCAAAAGTTTGGAGTCATTTGTTGTATTGATACTTGTTATTCAGTAAAACTGTGGCAGCTCTGCAGACAGGCCCTTCTCAGAGACACAGGTTATACAGCTGTTAGCTCTTCATCTATTTACACAAAGTATAATAAACAACACATGTAACTTAAATACATGAGAAGAAACACTGGTGAATCAATTAACAAAAGGCTTATAAGAGAATTCCACCAATTTTCTAAATATCTGTTTAATTCAATCATTGACATATACACAGTCATTCAAAGTGGTTTGATGTGAAATAGTTAATTGTAAATACAAAAATAGTTAAATCATGACATCTACACACACATACCGCGATTTTATTTACTACCCAAAACCTCAAGTGAACCTACAAGTCTTCTGAGCTTTCATTTGCACCCTTGGTAACGGCAAAATAATGGTAAATCTAAAAAAACACTGTTTTCTCTGGGGACTATTTTGCCTGAATAGATTTTCAACCAATTTATGTAAAAACTTTCTGTTATGTAGCTTTTAGAGGCATTAAATGCCTTAGACATCTGGTTCCTTTCATTACCACTGTAAACAACTGACTCAGTGAATTTCTCTAGAATGGTGCATTTCATATCTAACCACTCTTAATGACTTCGTTTAAATCTTAAAAGATTGAATTATGCATAAATTCAATGTTTAAGATGAAAGAAAAATCTGTAGAATTCAGCTTTAAGAAAGGTTCTTACTTAGGTTTCACTTTTAAAGTCATTTTGACTGTTTGAACATCTCCTTTAAATTCTACTTGGCAGGTAATGACTTTCCCATGGTCACTAGCCCTTGCAGTGAATTTCAATGTTGATCTAGCTTCCTGTTGTGCTCCTGGTACAAGAGACATGCTGCCAGATAACTGTCCACCATTCCAAGTAAGGTGAGGCTGGTCTCTTGGACACTTGTACGTGACCCAAGCAAATGATGTCTGTGTCCACTCCCTCAAGAAACTCTGTGTTGGAATCAGGAGTAATCCAGGCTGTGTCAGTGGGACCTGTTGATAATAAAGATAAAATCTGACATTCACAACCACAATGCAATGCTATCAATCTGATTTTATGGCTTATGAGCCCCTGAATGCTGAAAAGGAGTAAATGAGAAAGCGTGTCTTGATGTTCTTTTCTTTTTCAGGGTCAATACAATCAATTTCAATTATATTATTCAGAAATGTATAAAACAGAAGTGCCACTTACACGCTGCAGTGTGCGTTTTGGTAGCTAATGCCGAGAGGCCACCAGGATGTCTGACCACTCAGTCAACTCTGTGGTTATCAGACTTAACAATCCCTTCACGTATCAGTGTGATTTTCCAGGTGCCACTTCCAATGTCTGTGTGTGTCCATCTGTCTTCTGTTCCTTCTATCCCACTCAAAATCAGAGAGGGTTTTCTGTAAGGGCAGGTGTGGTATGTGCTGCACTGAACAGTGACATTTTCACCAATTCGATTTTCTCCAAAAATTTTAATGCTGGGTGCTGGTGCTGATGCTGCAACAGGCAAAATGAACATCAGAGAATATCAGCAGTGAATTAGAGAAAGGATAGAAATGATATCTAAGACGTTGTTACAACACAGTTCATTTATGTTGAAAACAGTGCAAGAGTGATTTATGAAAAGTGAGAAGATCAAATACTTACTTTCAATATAAATCGTACTGGTAACATCATAGAATCTGTAAGTTTTGTATCCAGTATTTTCCGGGTCTATCCAGGTATAAACTTTTTCTCCATGGTGGGATAGTTTAAGGTCCTCAATCAGCAGACTGCAGTCCTTCACGGATGGGCTTCCATATAAACTGGTTTTTCCTCTAAACTTGTCAATCACTGATCCAGGGTACCAACTATCATACACTAAAGGGTATCCACGACTAACATACTGATACCACACTACTCAATCATGGTTTTTAGGTGGATAGAAATTGTAGGAGAAGTTACATGGTATAACCAAGCAAGAACCGTATAGACCATTAATACTCCCTGGCATTGTTACTGACCATGTCCAGGTACCGCTAAACAGGATGCCTGTGTGCCAGAAATAATAAAAGTTTGTTATGCATGAATTTTTACTGAACTGAACATTTTGTATTTTTGTTATTTTTCCTATATTTTAAATATTTTCATTATTTCTACTTTTTCCTCCATCAGTACTGTACAAACTGCTGTTATGACTAAAAAAGTTCTAATACAGCTCTTTTTACATTTAAAAGAAAACAGTCACCTCTACCTGTTAAAGTACACAAATTCTGTGAGTAGCTTTTTTAAGAGTATAAAGGAAACAATGGGAAGACACTGTACCATAAAAAATCACTTGCAGCAGCAGAAGTTTACCATGTTCTCGCAGACAAACTGATCTTCTGTCTAAAAGATTTTAAAAGAGGTTTACTGGTTAATTTTTTGCATATGCATAACTGTGCTTCATTCAGTGCTTCATTATACTGTGATGACACTGCAAAAAATACACTGTAGACTACCTGTTTTAGTTTTAACATGTAATTTACATGTAACTTTCAAGGCCACAACTGCAGTAAAGACAGTTTCATATGCAGAGTAGGGCTGTTAAATTCGCTTCATTAGGCTAATGCTGTAAAAAGAAAGTTTCAAATTCCTAGGAATCCTACTGACAATACTGACCTACTGTGTACTGTTTTAAAGTATTCAATACTTCATGTTTGATTTAGTAAAACATAAAGAAATCTTTATTTAAAAGGCAGTTAGTAATAAAATAATTGCCTATTTTTAAATATCTTACCTTCTTCCTTAGAAAATCAGACACAAACAGAAACTCAGCAAAAACACTATTAACATCCATGAACTCTTTTGCTGCTTAGATCAGTCCTTCTTTTGTTTCTTTTGATTAGTCAGTAAAAGAAAGTTATATAGCAGCCAGTGCAATAACAGAAAACATACAACTGCAACAACAGAGCTCTGCAGGACTTAAAATATGCTCTTAGACCAAGCCCCTCCCTTTCTTATTTAATTGCTTTTAGTATTACACATCTGTGATGTGCTTACAGACCTTTCACTACAATGAAACGTCACAGCAGAACACATTTCTCTTTGTAACTTGTCTGTTTTCTGTGTGGGCACTCTGGTTCCTGAATCATTCTATTGCAATACAATTTCTGAATGTTATAGATCTAATGGGCAGGAATTTAACAGAGAACATTGAGCAAATGAATTATAATTGTTAACTATGTGATAACTACTGTAGTTTAAGGAGTCCTTACATGGCCCATGTAAGGTGAGAAAATGGTAAATTTATTTGGCCCAGTTTTGGCCCATATATGTTGGACCTGTGGCTGAGTTGAGGCAGCCAGAGAGACATTAAGGCCAAATGTGGGCCATACGAGAACTGCAGATGTTGGCTACATTCAGGCCAAAAAATAATTGCTATCTAGGTGTTAGCCTGTTAATGAAGTAATGCTATTTTTATTTGAGGGTTGTCCCTCTTCGCTAGCTACCAATAGGTTAGAGAGAAAGACAGTCCTAAACTCAGATACTGCTAGAATCAGAAGGTCATTGACACCTAGTGAAAAGGGACAGAGTTAAACACAGAACAGTGCAATACAATACAATACATAAGTGCTGTACAATACATTACAATCAATACTTAATTTAGTGCTCATTTAAGTGCTGTATAAACAGGTGTGTCTTCAGTCTGCGTTTGAAGACAGCGAGAGACTCTGCTGTACGGACAGCCAGTGGGAGTTCGTTCCACCACCTGGGTGCCAGCACAGAGAACAGTCTAGATGCTTGCCTTCCGCGCGCTTTGAAGGATGGCGGGTCAAGTCGAGCTGTGCTCGAAGCTCGAAGGGCTCGTGGTACAGTTCGAGATTTGACCATTGCCATCAAGTAGGGAGGGGCTGGTCCATTTTATGCTTTGTAGGCAAGCATAAGGGTTTTAAATCTGATGCGTGCAGCTACAGGAAGCCAGTGAAGGGAGCGCAGCAGTGGGGTGACGTGGCTGAACTTTGGGAGATTGAAGATGAGTCTTGCTGCTGCATTCTGGATGAGTTGCAGAGGCCTGATGGCCTGCATCGGAAGACCAGCCAAGAGCGAGTTGTAGTAGTCAAGCCTTGAGATGACAAGATACTGCACTAGCACCTGGGTGGCCTCTCGAGAGAGAAAGGGTCGGATCCTCCGGATGTTGAACAGGAGAAATCTGCATGACCGAGTTAGGTTCGCAATGTGAGTCGAGAACGATAACTGGCCATCCAGAACCACACCAAGACCTCTTGCCTCTGCTGACGGGACAATCAGAGAGTTCTCGAATGAGATGGCAAGATCATGATGAGGACCTGTAGTTGCAGGGATGAATAGCAGCTCAGTCTTGCTAGGATTGAGCTTCAGGTGGTGAGCTGCCATCCATGAAGAGATGTCAGACAGACATGCCGAGATCCAACTTGAAACCTGTGTGTCAGAGGGTGAGAAAGAAAGCATTAGTTGAGTGTCATCAGCATAACAGTGATAAGAGAAGCCATGAGATGATATTACATTGCCAAGAGAGCTAGTGTAAAGAGAAAAGAGAAGAGGACCTAGCACCGAGCCTTGTGGGACATCAGTGGAGAGCCTGCATGGAGAGGATGTGGACCCTCTCCATGTTACCTGATAAGAGCGATCCTCCAGATAGGACTTGAACCATTTCCACGCAGAGCCAGTGATTCCAAGGTTGGTGAGGATGTCCAGAAGGATTGTGTGGTTGACCGTGTCAAAAGCTGCTAAGAGGTCAAGAAGAATCAGGACAGATGACAGACTGGCTGATCTTGCTGACTGGAGCTTCTCTGTCACTGCTATAAGAGCAGTTTCTGTTGAGTGCGCTGGTTTGAAGCCAGACTGGTTGGGGTTCTGGAGCTGGTTCTGCGTGAGAAAGATAGACAGTTGATTACAGACTGCACGTTCAAGAATTTTTGAAAGGAAAGAAAGGAGTGATACCGGTCTGTAGTTGTTGACATCAGAGCTGTCAAGCGTGGGCTTCTTCAGGATGGGAAGTACTCTTGCGGTCTTCGAAGTTGATGGTACTTCACCTGATGACAAGGACTTGTTAATGAGAAAAGTGATGAAGGGCAGTAGATCCTTGGAGATTGACTGGAACAGTGCAGATGGAATGGGATCCAGTGGGCAGGTGGTTGGGTTACTGGATTTGATCAGTTGAAGGACAGCGTCTGTGGAAAGAGAAGAAAAACAGTTTAAGGGATTGAGAGCGAGAGAGTGAGGTCTAGCGAAAGGAGTGGGGACAGAGGGAAAAGACTGGCGGATTCTATCAACCTTCTCCTCAAAGAAGGTGACAAAATCCTCAGGAGTGAGAGAAGAGGGTGGAGGGGGAGGAGGAGGGTTGAGGAGAGAGGAGAAAATGCTGAAGAGCTTGTGTGGATCAGATGCTGATGTTTCCAGTTTCCCTCTGTAGAAGGATGACTTTGCAGCAGTAACTTCGAGTGAGAACTTGGAAAGTAGAGATTGGTAGGAGTGCAGATACATGTCCTCCTTTAGGCCACCAGGGGAGGTAGTAAACAATAAGCAAAAGTTTATTGTTTCCAGAAAACTCTGGGAGAAAACGTGACTATGATGTCAAAGCATTCCATGTATCAGAGATCTGCCTCACCTGACTATTGACTTTCCTCACATTTTAATCATGTGACTTGTTTAGTTTGTATATAAGCCCAGGCTTTAGATTAGTTCAGTGTGAGGTGTTGCTTCTTTCTACAGAGCTACTGAGCGTTCATTTCTGTGTTTTTGGTTACTATCCTGTGTATTGGACCCTTTATCTGTGTAACTTTGCCTTTTGCCTTTTTCCTTGTTGGACAGTGTTTGCCTGGATCTTATTTTTGTTGTGTTTGTCTGTTGTTGTATTTGGGTGGTTTTGGATCTGACCTTCGCCTGTTTTTTGACCACAACTGGAAAACCACGTTGAGACTAGTAAAGCCTCATTTGGTATTTTTAACTGCTCGCATCTGACTAGTTTTGTCTTGTTATAATATTATACTTTTAAAAATTTTACATTTATTTTTACCAATGATGACTTTAAGAACATAAGTATGTATGTTATTTTAATGTTACATGCTATCTTTATTTGATACTATTATTTAGAAATGATCTTATCCTTTCCTATTGTGATTATTAGTATTATGTATTAACATTAGTAGTGTCATATGGATCATTTTACTAAAGTCTAAAGTAGGAAAAATCTTAGTTGTGATTTTAGTTCAATGGATAGTTGGATGTAACTGAAAGTTTGGTAGCTGTTGCAGTCATTGGGTAGTGAGGTGTTACTCCTTTCCTCTTTATTGGGTTGGCCCGGCCCTAATCTTATCCTACATAAGGTAGGTTTGTGTTTTTGATTTTTTTTTTTAGTTTTACCTTTTTTAATTTTTATTGGCCTCATGAAGTTGCTTTAAGGATTAGAGATTTGATAGTTTAGGCTGTTTAGAGCTGCTTCATACTAGCTACTGGCTAATTTAAAGGCTCTACATGAATATGGACCACTGAGGTTTTTTTTTTTGTTTAAGGCGTTTGTTCCTGTGGGCCTATACTTGACCCTATATTGGTCCAACTGAATAAGGCTACTCCCATCATAAGGGTAATGGAAGTTTTTTTTATTCATAAATAAAATATAATTTTGCAGTGTATGATAGATTTTTCTTTTGTCTAAAAGCAGAGTCTCAAGTCATCCTGCTGTTTTGCCTGATGTTTCTCCTTTTTTTGCTTTTCTTTTGTTTGCTGGTCTTTTTTTTCAAGATAAGTGTTAAGGCTTTAAGTGTTGTGTTCCACCTTTAGGTTGTGCATATAAACTGCATAATTTTATTTTGTTGGACTTTGTGACACCTAACTTATGAGGTGGTAGCTTTTAATTAACCCCTGCAGGCTGCCACCTACACTTGAGCCCTGCCCTTAGCTAATCTTGGTTAGTGTGGGTTTATATTTTCTTTTTTTCTATAACAGAACAAATTTGATTGTATTTTTTGTAAGATTATACCTTTCTACTTTTGATGTTTAAAGTAGGACATATCATATTGTATGTCATGCACCCTTTTGACCTTGACTCACACAGGGACTCCATTTCCCAGAATCCACTGGGAGACCACATGACTCCCCAACCCC